GGCCCGGCGCGGCGACTGGCGAGTGGCACGCGCCAATGTCCGTCAGACACGTGCAATGACGAGGTAAGAAAGGGACGTGGTACGCAGCACGGAATCGCCCACCCGGGCGTTCACGTGTCACCGCCCGTCCACATCATCCCAGTCTGTCTGTCAGTTCACCATCCAAACACTCCGGTCCGTCAGTCGACTCGACGGATTGACAGTCGGTCGACTACAGAATGATGTTCTACTCCTCAGAAGCTATCAGTTGACCGGAGCGCTAAGTTGTGCCGTTTATCACGCAATTAAGCGTGTCGATCGTGAGCATTGGGACAAAGCTATAATTTGTGAACTCAGCCCGTGTGATGCGGCACAGCCTACCACTCCAGGCAAATAATTGCCTATGAAAAGTGGAACATCATTCTGTAGTCGACTATACACCCACCGACTTAACAGTGGACAAACTGCAAGCTGCCTGACTGGACCTACCAGCGAACTCGACATCCGACACAAAGGCCCATGGCAGACACCGACAAACCCAGTCTGACACAGCACCCGACGCAGCAGACAGGCTGACTGACCGCTCCGGGTCGACGCGTTCAGTTACTGGCGGACAGGGTGGGCGGCCGAGGCTCCGTCCCCCTGGGGTCACTACTCACTAGACTGTCATGTCATGTTAGGTCTATCACCGCCGGTGGTGGCCTGAATGAGCTCACACGATGGAAACCTCTCGGAGCGTGTCTTTATATGACCACGCGCAGTGGAGCCCTCTCGGGTCGGGCGCGATAAATTGACCGGCAGAGACCGGACGACGAGAGCCAGGACCGACGGCGCGGCGCCCCGTCAGACGCTATGGTAACGGACGGCTGTCGGACGGTCATCGGCCGGTCAGTGGCCAGCCGCGGTGGTCAGAGACCCCGCCGGCGCACACGGCCACGTGACGGACGCTGCACGCGCGTGATCCGGCCACGTGAGCCGGTGTGGCGTGTTTGTTTTTGTGGCGGCGGCGGCGCGGCGCACTGTGGCCCGGTGACCCGCTGCCGGCCGCCGCTGGCCCGTCTCCCGGGAGATTCCTCCGGCAGCTGCCGGTCTCCGGCCGACGGAAGGACGCTGCAGTCGGACCGAGCCGGGCCGGGGCTGCTCGCAGTGGCAGCCGCGTGCAGCCAGGTGGGACCGGCCGCCGGCGCCGCGCACAGGACACTCGAAGGTCGAGGCGCGCAGCCGCGCTCGGCGGCGTCTGCCTGTTGCCAGGCGGGCCGGGGAGCGACGCCGCCCCGCCCCGTCCAAACCACGCACCTTGATGAGCGTCCCAGAACCGGAACGGGGCGACGGCGGGAGCGGGCCGCAACGGCAGAGGACGGCGGTAGGGTGGGACTCGGAGGCCGAGGGCGACTCCGTGTGCCCAGGCGGTGCCACTCCGCCGTATGAATAGCTCCGGCACCCGTAACCCAGCCCTTCCTCATATCAACAGCCGCATACGTTCCTTTGAAATATAATTGTATGCGAAGTAGGTACGCAATGTCATTCAACAAACATTTATTTTGTCCAGTTTCGTTATTTGTTCACAGTGTGCCGCGGCTGGGTCAGATTGGATCAGCTGTAACAGCGGTAACAATCATTCCAGCACTAGGCTTATAAGAGTCAAGAGACGTCCCGGTTCGTAGGAGACCAAACCCATTATGGCGAGTTTATCAAACCCATTATTAAAGTTGCGTGATTGATTATCGGAAGATATAACGCTATTAGAGCACCGACTCGAACGCTAAGAAGACACAGAACCAGAAAACGTAATAAGACGAAGTTCACCAAACAGATCGAATCATATTTTCTCCCAGACTTATGCCAGCACCCTGCCATTCAACATCCTGCAGATGCAGCCGCTGATGTCGGTCGACCCGGTCAGCTGATGCTTCGCCCGCTGTCCAGTGCTGTTTGAGACTGACCCGCTGTCCGTCGCTGTTTGAGGCTAACCCGCTGTCCGGCTGTTTAGGCTGGCCCGCTGCACTGTCCGGCGCTGTTTAGGCTGCCTCGGGTGCCGCGCGGCGCGTTGTTGTGCCCACATTCCCCTACTGACGGCGCCGGTCCGTCTGCGCTGACACACCAGTGACGGGCGCCGCGACCGGCCAGCCCGCCCGGCGCCGGGGAGCGCGGGTTCCCCTGTCGGCAGCCAGCCCGCCTGGCGCCGGGGAGTGCGGGTTCCCCTGTCGGCAGCCAGCCCACCCGGCGCGCCGGGGAGGAGGATCGCTGTCGGCAGCCCGCCCGGCGCCGGGGAGCGCGGGTTCCCCTGTCGGCAGCCAGCCCGCCTGGCGCCGGGGAGGAGGATCGCTGTCGGCAGTTAGCCCGGCGCCGGGGAGCGCAGGGTCCCCGCCGACTCCAGCTGACGGCTGCTCTAACGGAGCTCGGCTCCGTCCCCTCATAGCGAGGACGCTCTGCTCAGGGAGACTGACAGGGTAGTCTGCCTCCGCACAGTCCCGGTATAGCCTCCAGGACCGGACCAGTGCCGACTGCCGGACCGGCGCGGACGACGGACCGCCCAACCAACGGGAGCCGTCGCTCCGCTCCCCTCCCCGTCCCGTCCCGGCGGTGGCCCCCTCCCCTTCCCCGGCAGCAGCTCCCGTCGGCCCGGAGACAGCGCCGACCAGTTGTCTGAGCCCTCGTCACCGCCGGCCGAATTTCGGCCGGCCTTTTTCTGCGGACCGGGGTACCCTTGAAGAGGTAACTATGGGTTGAGGATGGTCCGCGAATGGGCCCGGTTGGCTCCCAAGTCCCAAGGCCGGCACGCCGGCGTCCAGTGGGGTTCGCCCCGGGCGCACGCCCAGTTTGGAACTGGGCGTCCCTTTCCAGGCCTTCGCAGCATTCCGAGCCCAGGTAGGAACGTTGTGGACCGGACCGAAGATATGCGACCTCAGAATGGATCGCCCCATATTCATCAGTCTTCTGCGTCGACGGAGAGCGGCCGACGAAAGCAACAGGGTTCTCCCGTATGGGAATTACCTAAGCTGTCGAGTTCTGGTGTTCCAACACAAAAGATAAACGTGCGCTTGTTGCACCTATCATCAACAAAGCTTTCTGCCATATGCTGATGTATGTCGATCATCCGTGCGCTCACTGCTCACTGAGTAAAGGATTATAAAGGACCAGTCGATCTGCCCGTGCTTCCGTGAATGTCGGGGCCGCGCGTTGCAGAACGATACCAACACTGCAGTACTAACGATACATTAATATCGATGACTTGAACATGTCCGACTGCGAGCTTTTTCACTGTATGCAGCTGACACGCCCGTCCATTAGTGCCCGTCACCTGTGCCTCCGATATCAGCTGGAGGCGCGGCAGCTGCGCCGCCACACGCACCCGGTTTTTGCCGGCGGCCGGAGCGAGATGGGGCTGTGGAAGCCGGTCGGCCCTGGCATTGGGCCGCGCCCACTGCGTCCTTGATCGACCTTGCGCCGATGTTTACCCACGTGGAGGGCGGCGTTTTTGCCGAGAGGTGCGCACCGCACCACACCGCACCGGCCGACCGACTGGCAGGGCCGGCCTGATGTCTTTAGCAGCGACCAGGGCGGCCGGGGAGACCACTCCCCACGCAGTCAGAGACCCGGGCCGCCTCTGAGCTGAACTGAGTGCAGCTGAGGCGGCGGAACAGCTGCACTCATGTGAGCAGATCCTCCACCAGCTCTGAGTAATGGCTATCCGGCCTACGCCTTTTCGGTTTGTTTTTCCGTCGGCAAGACCTTCCGTAAAAGTCGCGTGAATGAAACTAAAGCAAAACGGGTACAAGGAAAATATGAAAAAGCAATACCAAGAACAGCTGGGTCATGTATTACAAATCCAGCGAGATGGCTGAAAAATTCGCCGTGCAGCTAGCATTGACGTCGAATCAACTAAATGAGCCGATGGACAAAAGCAATTCAAAACTACATGTAGTAAATTATTCCAGCGAGATATATAGGGATATGTAAACAGAGCATCAGGGCATCAACACATATAACAATGTACCGATGTAGCTACCCACGGAGCACGAGACGAAGGCTTGAATATGAGAAAATGGAGATCTCACGGATCTCGAGCTCGGATCCGATTGAATCATAGTCAGATCCAGCTCTGAACTGAATGAACATGTGCCCATTTTCGCCAGTGTTAGGCATCTGAAACCCCGAACTCGGGAAGAGGTTAGTCTAATCTTGAAAGAGGCTTGTTATTGTAGATATATTGGACAGGTATGTAGTAAAGAGCCAGTAGCCTACGAATATATTCAAAAAACAATTAGAAATAAATAAGCGGACCGGTTTCGTCTATCAAAGACTTCTTCAGCGTTTTCTTTTTCAATAACTTGTTCTACGTTTTTGAAAAAGCGCTGAAGAAGTCTTTGATAGACGAAACCGGTCCGCTTAATTATTTCTAATTGTTTTTTGAATATATTCGTAGGCTATACTGGCTCTTTACTACAGGTTGGTTATCGGTTGGGCAATGGACAGTGAGCACGGCGGCAATACGGCGCCGAGCTCAGACGTTCAGCAATACACGCTCAGAATGCACTTATCGAACAGTCGACTATTGATGTTTAGCAGCACACAAGCGACACAATGTGCATGTCCTGACGATGTGGATTGTGTTGGGTGAGTGTACTAATATAGGTTGCAAAATTGACGTGACTCTTAACACATATAAAATTATGTCATGTACATTTATAAATTATGTCATTCATATTAGCTAGGCGGTGAAAGTTAAACGCAATCATACAGTCGGTAGTATCTAACTCGAGTCAAGATATGCCCTCTTGAAGACTGAGGTGAGATTGCTGGGGACAACAAGCCATTGGGACCCATGCGCCGGAGTTTAACAAATTTAACAGCATGCATTGGAAGGACAAAATGCATGATAGCTCAAATAAATAAAATCGCACATTCGAAAGATAAATATCATTCGAAAAAAATCCTATAAGATCACAACGCAGGGTCCCACCCTCCGGCCCAGCGCGGGTCACCATGGCACCAGTCCCCGGCTGTCGTGCGGTACTCACATGAAGAAGAGGCCGCGCTGGCAGCCGTGCAGCTGGTTGAAGACGGTCCACGCCTGCGGCACCAGGAACTGCGGGCACGCCGCGTCGCGCTGCAGCACCTGTCGGATCAGCTCGCTGTCGGCCACGAAGACCACCTCGGCGCCCTGGATCGACTCGACGAACAGGCCGCCCAGCTGCCGGTGCCGGCCGTCCACCAGCTCGTGCAGCCGGCTGGGGCCGCCGGCGCGCGCCAGGTCAGCCAGGTGGTCGCCGTCGGGCCGGCGCGGCCGCGGGATCTGCGCGAACGGGCGCGCCGCCTCCAGGGGCCGCGGCAGGGCGGCGGCCGCCTGCGGGCGCGGGCTGCCCGACAGCAGCCGCCGGCTCAGCACGGCCAATTCGCGGCCACCGGGCATCGTGGTGTGCCGGCGCCGCGGCCAGGCCGCGACTGGCGCGCCGGCCGCCGGCGCCGCCTCTCATACGGCCGGGCCGGGCGGGCGGCGGCGGCAGACGGCGCTACTGGCGCGACACGACCCGCCGGTACTGACACCGGGCTCAGCGACACCGGCACCGGACCGGCGGCACTGACACCGGGCACAGCGACACCGACACCGGCACCGGACCGGCAGTACTGACACCAGCACTGACACCAGACCGCCGACACTGACACCGGCGACCGGTACCGACACCAGACCGGCGGCACTGACACCGGCACTGACACCGGACCGCCGACACCGGCACCGAACCGCCGACACCGGACCGGCGGCACTGACACCGGCTAGAGCGACAATGACTCCGCTGACACTGACACCAAACGGTGCAGCACCAGCACTGACACCGACACTGACATAGACAACACAGGACGCTGAAAGAACACTGACACCAACAGTCAACACTGACCGACGTGCCGCGACGCACCGACACTGCCGCTGACTGGCGCGACACCGACACTGCTGCTGACAGGCGCGACACACTGACCAGGGATCGAATGGTGCGATGCAATGCAAGCACCGCCACACTGCAGCTAGCGACGCGACCGACACTAGACACAGCGACCGCCGCAGATACTGACTCCGGTCGGAACCTTCAGCTATCTGTGTCTCATAAGCCCACCTGCCATCGTATACCTTTAGCAGACCCGCCGGGCCAAAAGCAGCCTCCAATCCCATCACCGGCCAGCTCACCCATCACCAGTGGATTACCTATCTCCCATCCGGTCCCATCAACAGGAGCGGGCTGATGGATGTGCGGCGTGCGTGATGACAGCTGGATGGATGTGTTGACAGCCGTTTAGCCGCGTAGTACAGCTCTGACCTGCGGTACTATCCTGTTCCGAGCTCCGCGACCCCAGCCGGACAGGGGTCGGCGCGAACTACACACGGTTCGGACCGCGTCACCCTGATCGGCATTCGGCGGAACCGCGGACAGAAGCCGCCTGCACGGGTGAACGCCACCGCGTGATTACCGGTCAGTCGCCGCCGGGAGCCGTTATCGCCCAGCGTCCTCAGTGAGCAGTGAGCACTGCCAGTCGCAGTCAATGAGCGGATCATCTCTGTGGAAATGTCAACACTCACCAAAATGTGTGCAGAATCACTTCAGATGGCCTGGTGACGAGTGCCACAGCGTTGAATCAAAACATTGGAGCACAGGTGGATTGTTGGAGGGATAAAAATGAAGCTTTCAAGTTTCAAATTTCATCCATTATCGGTATTGGACACTGTTCCGCGGTCTATTTCAGTCTCAGACGAGCTGGGCTCTCAGAATGTCAACTTCAAGAATGTCACTTCCCACGGTGGTGGGAAGTGACGGCCATGGGGCGGCGTCACATTCAGTGCCACCGGCGTGCCCAGATTACCAGAGACAGTGTCGGTGACCGCCCGATTCGGCGGCTGTGACGGTCAGCCTGTTGTCCGCTGAATATACGGGAGCCGAGTCCTGGGAGCCCGGACAAATCGGTACTGGGTGACGGTGCACCGAGCATTGGCCGATAATGATGTTATGTTCACACATCTCGAGTGGTCTGTTTGGAAGCCAGTGTAACTGAAATACAGTGGCAGCACGGTTTCAACGAGCGGCTAGCCATGCGAAAGCCACTGAACCTTCCGGAGCTGCGGTATCCGACAAATGATAGCAGGATATGTCGTCCTTCGTACACCCGACTGACTGGCGACTACCGTCTCTGTAGGACGATAGTCACAACCCGGGCGGACACACAGAGCCGAATGGTGCTGAGATATGTGCTGGTCCTACCCACGCCGGCAGAGTGCGGCACTGAGCCCCGAGCAGCGCGGGCCGCCTACCCTCCTCGCTCTCACTGCTCTGCGCCTAACGGGGTAGGCTGCACCGCACTACCGGGATCGGGAGAACAGCGGAGCGCGACTTTGAGCTGAGCGAGACGGCGGCCAACATACCACGCACCACGCCCATGGTAGTGTTCACAGTTCACGGCAGTAAGAACAGTTACAGTACTTACAGTACAGTACAGAACAAAATATGTTCATTTCTCACAAACAATGAGTTGTCTCGAATGGTAAGATGTATCGCACAACACATGCTAAGTGACACATCTTGTTCATATGACCCCGCTCACTATAGACACGCTCAGTTGCTTGACTAACAACACTACTTAGCATTCTAGCTAACTGATCGCTTGTGAGGGGCGGAACATCATTATATATTCAATTGTATTATCCCGGTGCGTACTATGCAATTGTCACAGCCGACACAGTCCCAGGAGTCAAAGTGTGTCACATAGGACACAGTCCAAGCAACAACACACACAGCAAGCACAATATCAGCAGTCACAACGTGTCACAGAAGACATAATTTCTTCCGTCACGGGGACACAATCCCAGCAGTCACAACGCGTAACAGCGGGCACAGCATCGTCAGTCACAACGCGTCTCGAAGGATGTACTACCTACAAGCAGCTCCCGTGGAAACAATCTCAGCAGTCACTTTCAGTTACGTATATCCAAACTCATCACATGAGTAGCCAAAGACTGAGCTTTTCGATAATTTCTGAGGTGTCAACAAGTCGTTAGCGAGGCCAATGACAATCCGCTAGTCGCACCGTGGCACATTCGGCAGTGAAAGTCTCCACAGTACATACATAGATCCGGCCTCCCTGCCCAATGACAAATGGTTGGAAGGATGCATGATGTTCGATATCTGGCGCTCACTATGGGTGGCGCAGTTGGCAGCGGGCTCAGTCTGGGCCGACGGGCCGAGGACAGGGGCCGGTCCTGAGGCTGCAGAGCAGACCCCCCTCCCCCCAACGGGCGCTGCACGTGGCACACCCCGTGTCTGTGGCCTAGCAGGTCCGGTGACACGACCATTGCGCCAATCGCGCGTTGCATAAGGAGCAGGAGCCTCCCGAGTGGCGGGGGCACCGTCGCCCTGTCTCGGCCTGCCACCGACCACCCGGCGGCGCCCGACACCCGGGCCGACGCGGTGGTCGGCCGTGTCCCTCCCCTCCCCCTCACCTCCTCACCTACAGGGGCAGCGTCTGGTGACAGAATCACATTACAGGGGGGCGCGGGCTGAACCAGATCAGTGACATGTCTGAGCCGTCCCTGCAGACATGCAAGGTGAGTGCCCCTTGTGCCAGTGCCAGCCCATGCCCAGGCCTGTCCACTGTCCAGTGTCCGACGCCAGATATTGCTAATCGAATTTCAGGTTCAAAGAAATGATGTAAAAGTAGCAACTTTTACATCTTATGTAGTAAAATGTATGTTACAGTTAGTATGCGAAATCCGTTAGTTTGTAACGCAACTAGTTTCGTTGCAAACTACCTGACCGGCCAGGTAGTTTGCAACGAAACTAGTTCCGTTGCAAACTAACTGACCGTCCAGTTAGTTTGCAAACTAACTAGTTAGGATGCAAACTACCTAGGTACGTTGCAAACTACCTAGTTACTTTGCAACGGAACTAGGTGTGTTGCAACGGAACTAGTTGTAATGCGAAATCGACGAGGCAGTGACTCTATTTGTCGGTTATATTCAACTTTGATGTAAATTTTAACAACGGTTGTTAAAACAAAGCTGTGTTTTTCTAACGGGTGACACTATAGACATAAGAGTAGGACGGGTGGTCACATTCATGGATGAAACAGTAAATTAACCAGATTCGACTACATAATGTGACGATCACTGGCAGATCCCGAGGAGGGGCAGTTCCGGGGGGCATTTTGCGATTTTGATTTTTTTTTTTGCGACACACACTAACACCAGTCACCACCGCCGCCGCACAGAATAGAACTGAACTGTATACAGTTCAGTTCTGTTCTGTCCAGAACCGCGCCGCTGACGAGCTCCTTACCTCCACAACCGATCAGTCTGTGACGCAGCCTGCCCTTTGATCATTGGCTGTTACCGAATGGCCCAGCACCGCTAGGTCACCTGGCTAGGCAAGTCGCAGTAGGAGTCGGCCGTTGAGACAGATTCTTGATCGCACGCTTACCCCGGACCACGGGCCATGGGACAATATATTGTGTTCGATGGGACAATATATTGGTGTTCGATGGGACAATATATTGTCCCATGGTCCGGGGTAAGCGTGCGATCAAGAATCTGTCTCAACTGCCGACTCCTACTGCGACTCGCCTAGCCAGGTGACCTAGCGGTGCCGGGCCATTCGGTAACAGCCAATGATCAAAGGGCAGGCTGCGTCACAGACTTATCGGTTGTGGAGGTAAGGAGCTCGTCAGCGGCGCGGTTCTGGAATAGGGGAGACCCGGGAGGTATGGGCCGGTTTTGTGTAAAGACAATTTTCTTCCAGTGGGCAGTGGCTAGACCTCGGTTTTTCACACTGTGTACGTGAAATTGCTTTTCGCCTGCAAAGTGTGCCTCATGATATTAGGCATCTGGGACCAACTATTTTGTCTCGAGATAACTTTCAATAAATCATGCACTTTTTCGATCCATCAAAATACACCGGGAGGTATGGGCCGGTGCTATGTTTCAAATTCTTTTCTCGACAATGAGATCAATACTCGTAGCTGGTTTCTACCTTGATCTCTCTTAGAGCCACCCCATAAGCGGCCAACAGCTTACTTCATGGAGGTCACTTGGGCACAAAGTATTTTGGTAAACTCAATCATGTTCCACGAAATAAGATACATAATATTTTTTCTGCTTGAATTTTTAGTTAAATGTTCGACCTTGCGCGGCAAAAATAAAACTTACTGAAGAGGACATTCAATGAAAGCATCATTTCATTGACTTAGGATCAACGGGGGTGGGTGGCCCGAACCTCTCGGTTAGGACGCCAGAATGTGCGTAGCATCTCAGCTCATAATCTTGCAACAAAGCTTCATATTGTCTATCCAGTCCTAATTTGCATGCTGAGCTGGTCTGACATCATACAACGAGCCTGGTTCAAATTTATTACGAATTTTTTGTATGTACCGTATTTTACTCGAAGAGGGTAAAAACGCTTTATCACCGCTCATTGCCAAGGAAGACTGAGGA